GCTGGCAGGCCGTTGTTGGCCCCCTCTCCTGCCTTGCCCTGGGCCACCTGCTTGAGGAACTCGACCTTCTTGCGGCTGGCCAGGAAGAGCGCGCGCTCCTCGCAGAACAGCATCACCGTGTCCGTGAGCTCGTACCCGAACAGCCACGTCTGGGGGGCACACGGGGGTCAGGGGGGACACCCCAAACCCGGGGCAACCCCAAAATGGGCCAGGGGAACCCCAAAATGGGCCAGGGGAACCCCAAAAGGGACAGGGGAATCATGGCTGGGGGCGCTCCTCGCAGAACAGCATCACCGTGTCCGTGAGCTCGTACCCGAACAGCCACGTCTGGGGGGCACACGGGGGTCAGGGGGACACCCCAAAACCGGGGCAAAGGAACCCCAAAATGGGCCAGGGGAACCCCAAAGGGGACAGGGGGATCATGGCTGGGGGCGCTCCTCGCAGAACAGCATCACCGTGTCCGTGAGCTCGTACCCGAACAGCCACGTCTGGGGGGCACAGAGGGGTTAAAGGGACCCCAAAATGGGGCAGGGGAGCCTCAAAAAGTGCAATGGAACCCCAAAAGGGACAGGGGAACCCCAAAAGGGACAGGGGAACCCAAAAAGGGACAGGGGAACCACGGCTGGGGGGACCGTGGGGTCAGGGGGAACCCAAAATGGGGCAGGGGGACACTAAAGGGACAGGGGAACCAAGGCTGGGGGGGCACAGAGGGATTAAAGGGACCCCAAAATGGGCCAGGGGGACCCCAAAAAGGGCAAAGGAACCCTAAAAGGGACAGGGGAACCCCAAAATGGGCCAGGGGAACCCAAAAAGGGCCAGGGGAACCCCAAAAAGGGACAGGGGAACCCCAAAAGGGCCAGGGGAATCATGGCTGGGGGGACAGTGGGGTCAGGGGGAACCCAAAATGGGGCAGGGGGACACCAAAGGGACAGGGGGAAATCCCTAAAGGGGACAAGGGAAACCCAAAATGGGGACAGGGACACCCCAAAAGGCACAAGGACACCCCAAAAGGCACAGAGACACCCCAAAAGGGGACAAGGACACCCAAAAAGGGACAGGGACACCCCAAAAATGGACAAGGGAACCACAAAGGGGACAGAGGAGCCACTAAGGGGGACAGGGCAAGCCTAAAAGTAACCAGAGAAACTCAAAAATAAAAGAGAAACACAAAAAAATTATGGGGGTTCCCCTAAAAATGAGGGAATTCACCCCAAAACGAGGGAATTCAGCAAAAAATGGGAACAATTTCTTCAGAAATTCAGAAAAATAAAAGATTTCTCTAAAAACTACAGGAAAATATAACAAAAACTGTAAAAAAACATTGAAAAACTATGGAAAACAT